CCCTGCAGCCCCCACTGCACCCAGAGGGGCTCCAGTCACTGTCACCACGTCCTGTGCTCACTTCCCCGATGCCTGTCCCCCAGACGACAAGCCCAGTGAGGCAGGTGCAGGCTCCCTGGTTCCCTGCTGCACCCCTCTCCCCTAAGACGGCGCCCACACATAGTGGGTTCTTGGTAAATACCAGAGCCGAGGGCGGCCGAGCCCTCCCTAGGTTCCAAGTCCCTGGCTTCACCGCACACTGCGGTAGTCACACCGGCCGCTTGTGGAGCTTCTGCTCTGTGCCCAGCTCCACCAGCACTTTAGCCTCATTAACAAGCACCCCTGGACCTCAGGGAGCCTGTGAACCAGACACCTGCCGCTTTCTAAGACTGGACGGAGGACCTTTGCGCCCTGTGCACAGAGAAGGTGCATGCTCCCCTCTCAGGCAGCCAGCACTGCTCCCTGGGTGCACCTGTGAGCCTGCTTCCACACCAAACTCTCCCCACCTGCACGTCCATCCTCTCTTTCCATTCAGCAGGCCCTGATTACTGAATGTGGAAACATGCCAGCTGGATTCCCAGCAGATAATCATCCGCCTTAATGAAGGACTTGGGTGGTCCTACAGGAAACCTCTTACAGGAGCCAGTCCCTTTGCCTTTATCCCATCCATCCTTCCTGCTGCCTGGAGTGTGAACATAAAGGTGGAGCCCCAGCCACCATTTTGGACCATGACGGAACTTGACAATGGAGGTCGCATGCAAAGAAAGGCAGAACAGAAAGACAGCCCTGGGTTGTCCGCCTCCAAACTTTGATTAGGTAGCAGAATTAGATCTCCAGACTATAAACCACTAATTTGGATGTCCTGGTCTGTGCATCCAAACCTCATTCTGTCACTGAACTCAAGATCGTGGGCAAGAAAGGAAACCTCCGGCGCCTCCTCCCTCAGCCCCCACCTCTAGGTTTTGTGTAGACCTAGCTTCTTCCCCTCTCAGGGAAGCCTCCTGTATAGTAACCACAATTGTGATAATTGTCACCACAATTCTATCCCAGATGCTCCTGTTCCTACGTGGTCATCAGCAACCACACAGCGAGGCAGCGACAGCCGGGGGGCAGGACTGGAGGCCACGCTGAGCCCGGCCAGGCTGCTGTGCTGTTTTCCGGGAAATTACCCACCTTGATCTCTGTGGCTCCAAAACAAAATGGGGGAGGAAAGAAAAACATGGTTCTTCTCCCCAATCCAAAGCTTTTTAAATCGATTGTGTGTGTGTTTGGTGAGGGCAGCTGCGTATTTGATTGCAACCACAGGTCAGACGCCCCCCTCCCCGCCGCATGCCGGCTGCCTCGTTCCACCCTCTAGACCTGTGCGTCTGCAGATTTGCAATGTCCGTCCACAGTCCCATCAGAAAAGCTTCACAGCAGGTCACAGTCATGACACCCCAGAATGGGACTGTCACGTACTCGGAAATAAATTACACAAAACTGAGTCAGCGTGCACACTCAGAATAACTTGGCCACTGGGCAATGCCGTTTGTACCCGCTGACCCAGCAAGGGTGAATTTCTCAGGAAGGCCACTTCATGCCGAGGCCAAGCAGGACCCGGACGAGGCCCAGGCCCCCCTTCCTGTGCCCCTCAGACTCAGCTGAGCACCCCCCCCAACAGCCTCCTTCCTCCAGACCCTCGGGAAGACCCTTCTCCAGAGATCTCACCCTAAACCACCTATTACCTCCACCTGGAGAGGACGAGCTCCCCTCGTTCACCAGGGTAACGAACCGCCAGCTCCCACCCAGCCCAGCAACCAGCCGGCTGAAGGCCCAGGTCCCGGGGGATGCGGGATGGAGGGCCCTCTCCGCACCGGGGGGCCCTGCCCTCACACTGTCTGCAGGCCCCGCTCTGCAAGCCCTGGCCGGGCCTCTCCAGACTTGGACATGAGTGTCTGGGTTCAATTCCTGCCACCAGCTCCAGAATTCCTTCCCTTAGGCGTTCCCTCTCTGCCTCCCTAGACAGGCTGGTTTACTTCCCGAGTCCACAGGGAGGGTTTCTCTCACCTGCCCCCAGCTGCGCCCCGGAGAGCCCGGGCGGGCGGTGACGCGGATCTGAACAGAGGAGGGGCGCGCTCTGGCTCCTTCTACCCGATTCCCGCGGCACCCACCATGGGGGCTGTGTTGAGAATAACCTTCAGAGGAACAAGTCCGGACCGAACAAAACCTGCTCAGAAGGCTGACGCCCCCGAGGCCAGACGAGCTCTCCGCACAGTGCCCGGGGCGGCCAGGGCGCACACTCAGCAAGGGCTCCGGGAAGCGAGGCCTCTGGGCCGGTGGCTGCAAAAGGCCGCCCACTCCAACAGCACAGGGGTCTTGATGCAGCCCCGGACCAGCCCCGCCCGCCCCAGGGACGCCGGCCCGAGGGTTCCAGGGCCCAGCAAGGCAGGCTTGGCAGGGCGAGCGTGGAGGAGAGGAGTGGGCGGAGCAAGGAGCGCAGAGACCGCTGCCCAGGCCACGCCCGCTCCTCGGCCACGCCCACGGCCACGGGCTTGGCTTTTGCGACACCGCCCCAGCTTCCAAACCCAGCCCTGGTTCTAGAGCCAACTCCCACCTCCATCCAGCCTCACACTAGCCCCGCAGCCCGCCCGCCCCCAGAGGTGCTCTCCCCCGGTGGCCTGAGGCCAGGCCACTGTCAGACTCGTGCCAAGACAGGGCTCCTGGTACCTGCTGTGCTTTTGCAGGTGGTGAGGAAGTGCCCACTCAGGACCCGTGTCCGCGGTCAGGCGGCGCTGGCTGGACAGTCCTGGGTGCCCACCCCAGCCCCCACCAAGTCTCCTCTCCCTCCCCAGCCTCACCCCCCTCCTTCTTCCCCACGCCTGGCTTTTTCAGTTACTCAGGGACTCCCCTTTCCATGCCTCTCACTGTCTATGAGCTAAAAGCCAACCCAGATGGGGGCCGGAAAATATCCCCAAGATGAAAAACAGCACTTCTACAAGGAAAAGTAAGAGTGAAGTTTTATATTAAACATGTATGATCTTTATCTGCTCGTAAGAGCAACAGTTATTTCTTAGAACATTTATAAAGTATACTAAATACTGAGGAAAAAACTGAAATTCACAGTGATTCCATCTTCCAGCGCTGGAAGTGGGCAGATAATCTTGGGGTCTTTTTTCAATGCGTTTATTTTTTCCTTTAATTGGGACAAAAGTACCTTCGAGTCTGTTTTTAACAGCTTAACATGCTGCAAGAAGCTTTCCGGCTTCTTCAGTCCCCCTCCAAACGCAACTCACTCACAAGAGCGCCTTCACTAAGGGGCTTGTCGATTCACCTGCTTTGTTCCTAAATCTTGTATCGGTTCCCATCGGTCGGCAGCTTTTCCAGCTGCTCTTCCTCGGCGGTTTCTTTCCTAGGTTCCCTTTTCAATCCCAGTTGTTCAAACAGGGGTAAGAGCAGTATGACTCCGAAAACTAAACGTGATGCGGCTGCGTATCTCAGAAAACGTCAGACGAACGCCCTGCTCTTCACAGGACTTTGGTTTTTGCTGTTTTCCCTAATTTCACTCATTACACGTCTGTTACACGTAAAACAATTAACCATTAGTCTTGGCAGCTGCTTCAAACCACAGTTCTGACCGTCTGGGCCTCGTCTCGTGGCCCCCTGTGGCCCGTCTGGCAGACCCACCTGACCACATTCTGATTCCTGAGGCTCTGGACTCCGCCCTGATCTGTCCCTTTAGGGAAGCTGTGTGATAAGCGGGGATCTGATCGGCCCCACCAGGCCACCAGTCCCGGGGGGACCTTGTCAAGCCCGGCGTGACATTCTGACACACGCATCAAACACCCCTCCTTCAGGACCACATAGATCTTCGCGGGAACCACTCCCAGTCTAACTCTGCCATTTCCCCACTGCTTCCTGAGTCTGCCTTTGCCTCTGAAACTGCCACGTGATAAAAAGCGGAAGACGTGAGCTGTCTTGTCTGGATTTTGATCGTAGGTTTCAAGGGGACGTGAAGCCCGGGGCGCTGGGAAGGGTGGTCCTGAACAACCTCCTTCCAGTGACACGAACTGTAATACTTAGACTCCAGGTACAACAGAGATTTTAAAAAAAAGGTGAATCCCGACCTTCAACGCTCTTTACAAACATAGAATTCTGCATTTAAACAGACAAGAAGAGAGAAAATCAAGAAGGCAGGCTACCTTTCTGATTACCACACGACCCACGCATTTTCAGATCCGGTCCTCCACGCTGGGCGAAAAAGCCAGTGTTCCCTGAATGGCTCCCTCGAGCCCCTCTCCCACCGGCGGGACTCCTCCTGTGCGCAGTGCTAGAGCCAAGGCCTTCATGGGGAGGTGTCCTGACTGTCCGTGAACTTATGTACTATGAGGCTTCTAGCCATGGTGGCAACTTACAGGAACTGTGCCCAACTGCTGTGTGGCTGCCCAGGCTCGCCCTCTCTGAGCCCCGAGGGCCAGGGTCGTGCAGGGCCACCAGGGCCCCTGGTGTCAAGCGAAGGGTGAACGTGTTTCCTGATCTGCACAGCAGAGGTCATGACAGCCACCTGCCTCCTCACCTCCTACCTGCTGTAAGGACCCAGTGAGAGAACGGCCAGGAAGGCGCGAGGTGTGTCTCTATGCACGTAATGAACACGTGACCACGGGGGTGCCAACACAAGGACGGCAAAGTGCTTACTCTTCACCGGTGCCTCTCCACCTGGGAGCTGAGGGGAGGTGCCCCGAGGTGGGAGCTGAAGGCCGAGGTGCTCACCCGTCCTGCTCGCTGTTCTGACTCCAGTCCGTCTAGAATGTCTCGGGACTGCACCTGGTCGCTCCCCGGAGCCCCTCCTGCCCCTGCCCTGCCGCCCACCATCAGCCCCCTCGGGCACCTGGCTGCGTCTGGAAGACAGGCAGGGTCGGGGGAGACCCCGTGCTGCCCCCCTTTCTGCACTTTCTCCACTTAGTGGAGCCAGGAAGGAGTCGCAAAGATGGGGGCACAGCTCGGGAGGGTCCTTGTCACGGCCTCCCTGCCAGCAGGGCCCAGCCTCCGAGAAGGAAGAAGGAGCTCATTCACTCATGACAGCGGCCGTGGGGGCAAAGCGACAATCCAGGGAGAACGGGCAGTGCTGTGCCCTCAGCCATCAGCTCCCCTTGTGGTCTGCTTTTCCAAGTAGCGCACGCCGAGATGTAAGAGAAAATACCCACCATCCCAGCCCAGACGCATGAGGTTTAGGGCTTTTAAATTAAACACCAACCCCAGCATTTTTTTTTTGCAGGGGGGAGGTAATTAGATTTATTTATTTATTTGATTTTTCAGTGGAGGTGGTGGGGATTGAACCCAGGACCTCAGGTATGCTAGGCATGTGCTCTACCACTTGAGCTATTCCCTCCCCCAACCCCAGCATTTTTTAAATTCAAAGTTCCTCTTCAGAAGAAAAACCTAAGTCAGAAGTGCTATTTTTAAATCATCAGACCATTCTAATACAATAGTGATGCCAACAGTGACAGCTAGTTAATAATAACTGGTAGTAACAAACAGTTGTAACACGTGTTTCCCTGAGGAAGGAAGTCAGTTTGTCATGGAGCATTTTGCTCTAGAGAGTAGGGGCGTAGAGTTGTTTCCTTTAGGAAGAAGCTAGATTCCTTGATTATTATCAGAAAATCAAGCAACACTACTCATCTAGTTTTTTGGAAAAGACTTTGCAGACACTCCCAACAGGGTGTGAGGTCAAGCACGCTTGTTCAGCCGGCTCACCTCTGCAGCAGCAGCAGGGCGCCGAGACATCACCACCCTCATTCCAGCCGGCAGAGCACCACTGACTGTGCAACTATGTTTTCTCTTCTTTTCAAAACCGTCTCTGCCTCTCCCCTTCAGGAAAACGCACCCGGCACTGCTCCAGTCCCAACCACTTCGCGGTACAGAAACAAAAGCACTGGGAACCTGTGATCAGGCGGCCGGCTTCCTGTTTCCCGCCGGCTTGGCTTCTGGCCTCATCGGGCTTGGTTTGGAAATCAGCAAATGAGAGATTCCGCGCACTGATGAGGGGAGAAGCCCGGGAGGACGCGCTGGAGCCCAGCAAGCCCGGGAAAGCTGTAAGTGCCTTGGTCACTTTCAAGCAGGAAGACGCTACCAGGGTCCGTAAAACAAACTTTTCCTAGAAATTTGTGGGGGGGAAGGAGAGGGTTGTCCGGTTTATGTCTATCGTGGTGTATTTTTCATAATAATAGACAGTGGGGAAAGGGACAGGGCGAGACAGGCACAAGGGCAGAGACGCCCAGGAAGAAGCGGAGGGAGCGCAGAGGCTGTGAATGGAGGGC